CGTCATCCCATGGACTGAGAGGTCCTGATCGGTTCCCGGTCAGGGCACGAGCCTGGGTTGCAAGCTCAATCCCCAGTAGGGGTCGAGTAGGAGGCAGCCGGTTGATGTTTCTCTATCACATTGATGTTTCTGTCTCTCGCTCTCTTCCTCTCTCTCTAAAAAAATCAATGAGAACATGTTTAAAAAAATAGTTCTTTCATTCATCTGAGGGCTGCCATTTCTCTACCCGGCCCTCCATGCAAGCGGGGTAGCAGGCGCCACCCATGCTGGCTGTGACATCTGTCCCAGAGCCATCTGGGAGGGTGCCACAGCACCTCGACCATGTCAGTGAGGAGGCCTGGCTTCCTCCGTCACCAGGGGAAGACACAGCAAGCACACTTCAGAGGGGTGTTTGCGGCCACGCACCCCGCCTGCCCCAGAAGGGATTCTTGTACCACTGTCAGCCAGTGAGGTCAAGGGAACCGATGTTCACCAGCTGCCTCCACTGGCTGACGTGGTCACCCGATGGAAGGCACAGAGCCGTGGCACCGGATCTAAACTCGGTTCCTCTGCCCGGGCGCCTGTCCCCTGACCAGTGACCGCACCAGCCTGGCAACCCCAAAGCCGTCTGATCAGCTCTTCCAGTGTCTGACAGAGACAGATCTTCTAGTCCTCATTTCCATCAACGAAGCCCAGGGGTGAGTTCCTGACGCCTGGGGTAGGACACGGAGCACCTGCGAGTCCTTTATCTGTCACCTGCATTTGATCTTGGTCTATCCAGGGAGGTGCCGTGTAATGTTCACGCTTCCTGTTGTTGTTTGTGTCACGGCCACTGAGACTTCGTTAGCAGTGTGTCACTGCTGTGGGGCTGGGCTTCCAAAACGCCTTGGTCCCTGCTGGTACTCAGCTTCCCACATCTGACGGTGGGCTTCTCTCTTGGACGGGCTCTTGTGGATATGCGGTTAATGTCGCTGATTTAAGACCATCTACTTAGCTAATAATAAGTACTTTGGAGGCTAATTTCATGAGGTTCTAGATTAAGGTACCAAGCTGTACTGTGTTGGACAGTGCACGGGGCATGGGGTCTGGTTTTGGTTTATGTCTTAGCTCTTTCATTGACTAGATGTGTGTCCTTGAGACAAGTTCTTAGCATCTCTGCCTGGGAAGTTCCTAGAACCCAATCAGTGGGCACCCACTCCTTCGCTGTTGATTTTTTCCCCCTATGACAAAAATGAGTGTTTCTGTTGTATGCATGAATATGAATTCCCTCAAATTTTTTTATCTACAATTTTTTTTCTTTATTGATTTTAGAGAGAGGAAGGGAGATGGAGAGAGAGGTAGAAACATTGATGAGAGAGAACATGGATTGGCCGCCTCCTGCACGCCCCCCACTGGGGATCGGGCCCACAACCCGGGCATGTGTCCTGACTGGGAATCGAACCGGCGACCTCCTGGTGCATGGGTGACGCTCAACCACTGAGCCACACCGGCTGGGCTTCCTCAACTTTTTCAGACCATAGAAGTCTACCTGGACTTTTGGGATGGGTGAACCCACCCACTGTCCTCGGGTGAAGCCACCACAGTCGCTGATGGACGGGCCTTTCAATCTCAGTAGGAGAAGCAGCAGCAGATGCCCGTGATAAGTCACGGTTGCTCTCCACCAAGGTTTCAAACCAAAGTATCTGTTCTAAACCACCTGCTTGCTCTTCCTAAAGACTTGGATGATAAACTGTAGGAAACCAGGGTCCACGCCCCGCCATGTTCATTTGGGTGGCCTCAGGAACCCACCCGTGAGGGAGGAGAGGCTGTGCGGACCAATGCCCGGCGGAGTGCCACCCAGCCCACGAGCGCCCGGCCAGACCCAGCGGTCCTTCCAAACCGGCCCCTCGGCCCAAGGCCTCCTCCCCCTGGGGTTCAGCCGTATCTGGCCTGCTCGAGGTCTGCTTTCAGGGGACCGTGGAGCCGTCTGGGAGGCTCTCCATTCTAGGGAAGGCAGTTCTAGGCCGAGTGACCTCCACCAGAAGTCGGGAGGAAGGAGCGGTTCCGAGCGTTGGACAGACTCGGTTTTCTCGGGGGCTCACATTCTAGACGGGGCAGGAGCAGGGCTCGGGCAGGGAGCAAGTGAGGGAAGGTTGTGGGTGAACAGGGACAAGGGATAAAAATGGAAACGGCGGCTTCACTTTAAAAGCACCTTAGGACTTGGGAGCACAAGTAAATGGCTGTGTGCCCTCTGGAGAGCTGCTGCCCGGGCTCCCGCTGGCACAGAGCACAGCTGAATGCTCCCTCGGCTGCCAGCAGAGGGCCCCCGGGAGCAAGTGCCCAGCAGGGGTGGCAGCCTGCACTCCCGGAGGGGGCACATCAGCTGAAAGCCGGGAAGCGGGCGGGGGGGGGGGGGGGGGGGGGGGTTAGCTGGCAACAGAGGCCGCATTGCCCGGTGCCTCGGGAGGTGGCCGGAGCACAGAGAACGGGGTTTGGCCCCGCGGGTCTTTCCTGTGCTCTCCCCATGTCTGCCCAGGGCTTTCAGAAACATCCGCCAGAACCCAGCGGTGGTCCCTAAAACGTGTGCTGCTCAGCTCTGCGGGGGAGAGCGTGCGGGAAGCGGGTTAGTCTGGGGTGAGACTGCAGTGCTCCTAGGGGCTCCCGAGGACCCGCGGGATGAAAAGCACTTGCTGCCTCATGGGATTGCTTAGCTGCAATGTTTTCTCTTGGTTCCATCCTCATTGAGGCCTAGTTAACAAATAAAACTGTAAGATACTTAAAACGTACATGATGAGTTGATATACGTACACATTGCGAAAGAAGTGCCCACGCCGAGTTAATGAACGCATCCCACACCTCACATATTTGCCTTTTTGTTTTTTATTTTTTTGGTGAGAACATTGGAGCTTGACTCTCCTAGCAAATTTCAATTATGCAATACAGTGTTATCAACCCGAGTCACTATGCTAGACTTAGATCATCAGACCATGGAAGGTGTATTCATCTGCCTGGCTGGTGTGGCTCAGTGGGCTGAGCATAGTCCCATGGACTGAGAGGTTCGGGTTCGATTCCTGGTCGGGGCACATGCCCAGGCTGCGGGCTCGATCCCCAGTAGGGATGCGTGTAGGAGGCAGCTAATAAATGTTTCTATCTCCTTCCCTTCCTCTCTAAAAAAATCAATAAAAACATATTTTAAAAAAAGGTATATTCATCTTACAGCTGAAGTTTGTACCTTTTACCAACCTCTCCCTGTTTCCTCCCCCCTGCCCCCCACCCCTGGCAACCACTTTGTACTTTTCTACTCTCTGTTTCTCTGAGTTCAACATTTTCTTTCCTTTCAGATTCTGTATATTACTGATGCCATGTGGTGTTTGTCCTTCGCTGCCTGGCTTATTTCACTTAGCACAGTGCTCCAAGGTCATAAGGTCATTCGTGTTATTGCAAATGGCAGGATTCCTTTAAGTAGACTTTAAGGTCATCATGCTGTCAGTATTTCTCAGCCTCGAGTAACATACAGAACACTTTTAAAGACGGGCTCAGGTCTAAACCATAAAGCAAAAAATTTACAACTAACTACTAAAAAAAAATCTCCCTGAAAAAAAAAATTTCTGCTGATGATATTAATGAATGGGATGAATGGTTTTGTTTTGCTTGAGTTAAAATCATGGCACAGGGTAAAAAAGGAGGGTAGCTGGGACCACACACAGAGTTTTGGGTTCAGAAAGCCTCCCCTACGTGTGCTCAGGTTGGCTCCCCTTCCAGCCTCGCTCTTACCCATGTAACTGCCCACAAAGTACCGCCCATGGCCGACCCGTCCTCCATCGGCTCACTACAGGAGCCTCGGTTCATTGGCACTTGCTTGGGAGAAGCTGAACACCCGGGACGACCGCCGCGCCCTTCAGACACCTGAAAGTATTCAGGAGACAGACTGGGGAGAGGGCAGCCATCCCTGGAAGCCCTGGATTCTGCAAACGAGGGATTGGTTCGTGTTTCCCAGTGAACTTGTCTGGCTTCCTCAGGTTACACCCCAGCACGGATTTTCTGAAAATCTTTGAGACTCGAGGAAAAGCGTCTGCGTGTGAAATCTTCCCACTGTGCCGTGTGCACTGGGCTTTGCTCGTGCAACATTCATGTCCCCGGCGCCGGTTCAGGAGGGCGTGTTGTGAGATCCTTCTCCGGGGCTTGCCGTGTTCGGGATCCGGCAGGAATTTCACCACCTGCGCTTTCCGTGGTCTGAAGTTAAACAGAGCAGAGTCGGCTGTTCTCACCCCAAGCCCTTCTTTTTTAAGGCCATGCATGGGCCCGTTTAGGGATAGAACACCTCTTGTTGGCTCCTGTTCTCTGTCTTTTCCGAGAGGAAGATCCGACTCCGTATCGGAGGACGGTTTCCGGGATCCTGGCACGGGCGCCGATGAGCAGGCGTCTTTGCTCTTGTGTGTCTTGGCTGTGTTTTTGGCTGTGGAGGTGCTGTGAGCCGTCAGGGACCGTGAGCCTGGGGGCCCGTGGCTGCTTGTGTCTCGCCATTCTTGTTTTTCCTTTCTCTCTCTCCGAATGTCTGAGTGCCAGGTCTCCAGTCGCGGCCACCGCCTCTGGCCACTCCTCCCTTCGCCCTCCGCTGGGCAGTTTCCTCTGCTCTGTACTTTTCTCCCTTTTACGTCGTCGTCAGTGTTTCTCTTCTTTGGGGTAAATGAGTTCTCACCTGTGTCACCGTCACCAGCCAGTCAGAATGGTCTTTTCACTCCCCCCCCACCCCCGCCATGGTTGCCCGGCAAGTCCTGACATGTCCGGGATAATTTGGGACATTGACCTCCTACTCAGAACAGCACAAGAACTGGACAAGCCGTGCAAATGTGCAAATGCCTGACGGAGCCCCGGGAGACACTAACACCGGCCCTGGAAGGCACTGTGTCCCCAGTCTTCCACAGGGGGCTGTCCCTGGGCTCTCCAAGGTCACGGCAGCCGTCCTGGAGCTCAGGGCAGACCCCCAAAAGCATGGTCGCATCTCTCACTCCCTCCATGGTCCCTGTTCTTCACGCCTGCAGGACTCTCCTCCAGCAGCTGCAGAAGCTGCAGACCTTGGTGATGGGCAAGGTTTCTCGCACCTGCAAGCTGGCCAGCACGCAGACTGGCACCTGCCTCATGGTGAGTGCCCCGCAGGGCAGCCCCAGAGCCGGCAGCGCGCTGCCGGCCTGCAGTCTCTCCCGCCTTGCCCAGCCCCGGCGCTGTGCGGGCGGAGGAACCGGGCGGCAGCGGCTGGCCGCACGGAGGGAGGCTCTGGCCCTGGGCCCCGCAGGGCTGTGGGTCGAAAGGTTCGCTGTGTGGGTCCAGGAACTGAGGGCTCCCCGTGTTCTCCCTCTCCCCGCAGGTGGTGGTGTTGTGCTTTGCTGTGGCGTTTGGCAGCTTCTTTCAGGGCTCGGGGCCCTACCCTTCTGCCACCAAGATGGCTCTGCCCAGCCAGCAGGAGCCCTACACAGCCTCCGTGGGTAAGACCGCACGCGGGGCGCGGGGAGGGTCCGTTTCCTTTCTCCGGAGCTTTCCGAAGGGAGTCTTAGTGACAGCCTGAGTTTTCAGACGTGGTGAAGGGTAGCTTCTCCATTGAAGGGAGGCAGGAGGCAGGTGGGGGTCATGCGCACCTGCTGGGTTTCCCCATGGGCCCCCCCCCCCGGGCTGAGGCACCCCGGGAGTTCTCGAGAGTGCCGCAGAGCATCGGCGGCTGCTCCTGACTGTCCCCGCAAATTCCGATGTCTCCTATTTTTGTTTTTTTTTTTTTATTTTTGTTTTTTTTTTGGTAAGGGGACGGGATGTGGCTTTGAGGCGGAGGGAAGCATGAAGCTCTCATGACATTTTAAGAGAAGTCCTGTGTTTCCACATCCCTGCAGTAGAATCATACATAGCATCATAGGAGTTTATAAAATGAAACGAAAGAATCTGTCTTACAAAACACTATGCCCAAGATTTACAGCCTTTGGACACGGAGGTGGTAGATAAGAAAGGGGTGATAGTGTCGCCTGCTCAGTGACCTCTGAAGTACGTAGGAAACAGGCGGTATGCAGGGGTCACAGTCCACGCGGACACACACAGACGCCGAGAGACCCGGTGTGGATCGGGCTGTGGGTTTGGCGAGGCACCGCTTTGCGTGTGAATGTTTGTGGTCTTCGCCAGGCAGGTACAACCCCACCAGGTGTGTGACAGAAATGCTGGTATTGCAACCAAACAATTTCAGTGGTCTCTTGGAAAATTTTCACTTCCCTAAGCAACTAGATCTCTAAAATTTATTTTATTTTATTTATTTAAAATATTTTTTCTTGCCCTGGCTGATTTGGCTCAGCGGTTTAAGCGTCAGCAGCAGACCAGAGAGACCCAGGTTCGGTTCCTGCTAAGGGCACGTACCTCGGTTGTAGTTTGTCCCTGGCCCCGGTTGGGGTAGTGTGAGTGGCAACCAGTCGATGTGTCTCTCTCACATCAATGTTTCTCTCTCTCTCCCTCCCGCTCTATCTAAGGATAAATGCAAAAATGTCCTGGGGTGAGGATTAAAAAATTTGTTTTCTTTATTGATTTTAGAGGAAAGGAGAGAGAGAGAGAGATAGAAACATCGATGAGAGGGAACATCGATTGGCCGCCTCCTGCATGCCCCCCACAGGGGATCAGGCCCACAGCCTGGGCATGTGCCCTGACCGGGAATCGAACTGGCAGCCTCTTGGTGCGTGGGTCGATGCTCAACCGCTGAGCCACACCAGCCGGGCTAGCTCTCCACATTTGAATGGAAGCCTATGACAGCATATGCCATACGGAGCCACCTAGCTGTGCAACTGTCCTGTAGAATAAAACAGACTGTCCTGCCGTTTGATTTATGGCCTTGGCTCTGTGTCTTCACTCCAGTTTCTAGATGAAAATGCAGTTTCCTGCCCCTGTGCCTTCTCTCTGTGTAAGACCTACTCCTTGGGAGGCTTATTTTAGCTGAGTCCGGACCTCCCCAAACATTTCACTTCCATTTCCCATGAAGTGTTCCCCCAGATGGTTCGGGTAGGCAAGGAGGGGACTTTCATTTTCAGAGCAGTGGGGGGTGGCAGTTTGCATTGTGTGTTTATTTGCTTTTCTGGTGTTCTTCCAGTCTTGTATAATTAGGGTGATTTTTCAATGCACAAAACCCCGAAACCTTTACACAAAGCCAACTCCAGTTGGCAGCCCCGTCCTGGGCGATAAGACCCACGAGTTGTCATCGGCCCCAGCCCTGGGCACGGGGTGAGGGGACGTGATATGCCCTCGTGGCCTCTCCCTAACCCCTGTTAACTTCGCTGTGTCCTCAGTGAGATCCAGGAACCTGCTGATCTACGAGGAGCATTCTCCCCTGGAGGAGCCGTCCGGCGCGGCCTCGGCCGGGGAGCTGGGGCGCTGGGACCGAGGCTCCTCCCTGCTCAGGGCGTCGGGGCTGGAGCCCAGGCCAGATGTGGATCTCCCCCATTTCATTGTCTCCAACGAGAGCAGCCTGGAGAAGTCCGTGCTGTTGGAGCTGCAGCAACACCTGTGAGTCAGCGGGCCCAGACCCTCCTCCTCCGACGTGCGGGTGATGGGTCAGGAGGCAGCAGCCCGCTCTGTGGCCGAGACTCTCCCAGAGGCCGAGTCCAGACCCTCTGCTCTTTCAGGACCCACTTCCAGGGCCCAGGACTCTGGGGGTCTACTGTTTGCCAGTAGCTGCCCTTAGCAGAGGTGGGGCAAGATCCCCCTGTCTGCTCTGTCACTGGGGAGTGGGCAGGGGTGGCCCCAGGAAGTGGGGAAAGGGCTTGAGCCTCCTCACTGTCCTCCTGGCCCCTCAGAGATGGAGTGACCCGCAGCCCAGTCACTGAAGGGTGCTCGCTGTGCAAAGTAGCCCAGGACACCTTCTCTAGCACGTCCAGCCAACGTGCGTGTGTGTTCTGCATGTCGCTGAGTAGCTTGTGGTTGCACGCAAACGAACATGCATTCATTGTAATTACACATGTATGTTGAGGGGCACCACTGAGGGGCACTGTGCCCGTGCATGTTTCCATGTCGGAAATAACGTATTCGGCCCAATTACCCACGACAGGCTTCGCTTCAGCGGTGCTCAGCCTGTGGGTCACACCCCTTTGGGGGGCCGAACGACCCTTTCACAGGGGTGGCCTAGGACATAACAGTAGCAAAATGACAGTTATGAAGTAGCAAGGAAAATAATTGTATGGTTGGGGGTCACCACAACATGAGGACCTGTGTTAAAGGGTGGCGGCATCAGGAAGGTTGAGACCCGCTGCCTTAGCCGGTCGTGGAGAAAAGCCCCTCGTAAGCCTAAAGGCTCGTGTGGGAGCAGAGGTGGCTGTGGTGGTCGGGGGTGCCGGGGAATGGCCGGCGGCACAGGGAGGGGGTCTGCGGAGGTGGTGTGGCTGGTGATCGAGCTGAGGAACTTGGCCCTGTGCCTCCCGGAAACGATGCTGTTCAGGGGAAGTGGGAGAGATTCCGTTTCTAATCCTTCAGCTGTCTTCCTCTGGTGCTGTGGGGAAGGTTCTTGATCACATGTACTTTTACAGGTTTACGTCATCCCTGCCTGGTTTTTGTTTTGTTTTAATCCTCACCCAAGGGTATTTTCCCATTTGTCTTCAGATAGCGTGGGAGAGGGGGGCGGGGGGGGGGGAGAGAGAGGGAGAAACATCAACTGGTTGCCTCCTGCACGACCCCTACCAGGGCTGGGACCAAACTGCAACTAAGGCACATGCCCTTGACTGGAATTGAACCTGTGACTCTTTGGTCCATGGGCCGACGCTCTAACCGCTGAGCAAACCAGCCAGGGCCATACCTGCATGTTTAACACGGACTAGCACTTACCATTTTAAGCACTAAGCAAATATGATATATACTTCTCATTAATTACTTTAAGAGGTTATTATTATCCCATTATAGAGAAATTGTAGAGCTATGGAGACGCAACTGCTTGATTGTGTGGTTCCTGACACAAGGCGTCTCCCCTCTTAGCTCAACTATTCAAGGCCCATGGAAACCCCGCTTGTTCGGACGTCTCCTGGGTCCTGACGCCTGCACGTTCCTCCTCCGGGTGCCGGAGCCTTTCCAGGCAGTTGCACGGTTTAATAGCCTGTTTATTTTCTGTTATTTCCAGTTACTTGTTTGTTTTCTTTTTATTAAAAATTTTTTTTTTCTGTTACTGGTTTTCAGAGAGAGAGGAAGGAAAAGGGAGAGAGAGACAGAAACATCGACGAGAGAGAAGGATTGGCTGCCTCCTGCATGCCCCCCGACAGGATCAGGCCCACCCCCTGGGCATGCGCCCTGACCGGCAATCGAACTGGTGGCCCCTTGGTGCAGGGTCGATGCTCAACCACTGAGCCCCAGCGGCTGGGCTGTTTGTTTTCTTTATTTGGATTATTTGCTATGCTAGACCAGGGGTCAGCCTTTATCCTATTTTCTCCTTCCCAGAGTCTGGTGTAGGGCCAGCCATCCTCAGTACCCACAGTACTTTAAAGCAACCTATCCCAACTCAGCACCGCAGTGCGCGGGTCTTCTCTGGGTTGAGGTGTCCCCTCTGGGGTGGGGGACGGGTAGGAAAGTGGAAGTGGGTGGGCTGCAGGGGAGATGGGGACAGAGACTCGCAGGGGGTGGGAGGGAGCAGGAACGGGGCGTGGGCGGCCGCCAAGCTGAGTCGAGGTGTGACTGTCTTCCACCAAGCGTGGCTCAGACTCCTCTTTCCGTGACTCCCGCGCAGGGTCAGCACCGACCTGGAGGGGAACGAAACGCTGCAGGTTGTGGAACTCGACAGAAGAGTGAATGCCACCTTCTGAGAGGCCGTCCCCACCTCCCTGCTTCTCCTGCTCTGCTTTCGGTCCCCCAACACCTCTGTCACACGCTGTCCCTTCCCCACCCGATGCGGATGAAGATGCTGATGGATGCGCGGTCCTGGCTTCGGCTGGGGGACAGCCTGGGGTTGCACCCGTGGTGAGCGCTGTCCCTCCAGTCCCTGGCCCTCCCCGTGGAAGGAGCCCGGCATCTCTCCCTCCCTTTGAATTCCTGCCGTAGGAACGTATTTCGTATTTTGGGGGACAGGCGGGGGGGAGGTGGGCTTGTTTCTGCCCAAAGATATGGCCTGATTCTCACCTGGCGGGCGTGACCACCGCTCTGAAGAAGAGACACTGCTCATGGGAGACCCCAGACTCTGGTCGTAAGAATCCCAGGGCGCCTGTTGGGATCTGGCGGAGCCGTGACTGAGGTCCCGTCTGCCCCGGCCTGGTCTCGGGGTCCGCCCGTCAGCCCTGGAAGCGCCAGGGTGACCAGGGAGCACCCCCTGCCCCTGTGCTGTGTCCACGCCGCCCTGGAGCCCGGGCCTGCTGTCCTCGGCTGTGCAGCCCGGTGCCCTTCACAAGCTCAGGCCGCAAGTGCAATGCCTGAGGGATCAGGCCTCTGTCCTCCAGGCCCACCTGCCCGTCTGCTGCTCCTCAGCAGGACCTCTCCACAGCCTTGCCCACGAGCCCCAGGGCCGCCTCCGCCTTCTCCCCCCGTCTGTAAATAGTATTTATTAGCTTGCCCGGGCCTCCCACCAGCACCCGCTGGAGAGACCCAGCGCCTCCCCCCAGCTGGCTGTCTTCTGTCCCACGTTGGTCCTAGGAGGGCAGCCTGGGCTCCGCGGTCCCCAGGCCTCCAGGCCGTTTCCTTCTCTTCTTCTTTGTAACTGGAGGCCTGTCCCCGTGGGGGACCCCTGTAAGCGCGCGTCCTCCTACAGAATGAACTCAGAGGGAACGGTGGTTTAGCCGGTGACCTGTGCCCAGGACAGAGAAGGGGAGCCCTGTCCTGACAACAGGCGATGGGACAACCTCGCTGGCTTGTCTCCCCCCACTGCTCCTGCCCCCCCCCCTGCTTTACCCTCCTCTTCCGCCTCAAGACGGGGGCGGGCCTGAGCTCTGCTCCCCGGTCGGTCGGAGCAGGCGCCGTTTGTGTGCCCGCCGGCTTCCCTTTATAGTCAGGATGCTTTGCAGCTCGCCCAAAGAGACATAACCTAACCCCCCAACCTACTCTTATTATTTTTAAAGATTAAAGTAACTTTTTGTAGTGAAAAGATCTCTCCTCTTTCATACATATAAGAAATGGAAATTGCCTTTTTATTATAGAAGGTAGAACATTTTCCTTCAAGTGTTTTTCCTTAGCTTATGAAAGATTTTGTGTAGGACATTTGCTTTCATTTTGTATCTTATTTTTAGTAGAAGCTGAAAGGCCTTTAGCTTTAACTCCCCTTTCTCTCTCTCTCTCTCTCTCTCTCTCTCTCTCTCTCTCTCTCTCTCATCTCAATTGTCATCAGAACCTGTACTTAAGAGAGATTAAGCCCGTAGCTGGGCCTCCCAGTCCCTATCTGATGAAGGATCTGATTTGCCATCATACCTCGTAAGCAGGCCCGTCTGTCTGCCCAGGCCCATCTGTCTGCCCAGGCCCATCTGGGGCTCACGCCAGTGATCCCCGCGTCTCCCTGCAGTGATGGAGAGTGTTCGGGGCCAGGAGATGGCCGCGTTCGCCTTCTCTGCGGGTGTGAAAGCGGAGTCAGGACTGCAGTGTCCTGGCAGCCCCGCCCAGGGTCCTCGGTACAGTCCTCACGTCCCTTGCACTGGCCAGGGAGGGCTGAGCCCGTCTGGGCTGTGCGGGAACAGGGGTCGCCTCCTGCCTCCTGCCCCCTGCCCCGGCCTCTCTCTACTCCCTTCTCTCCTTTGCTTCTGCTCGGGGTCCTCCTGGGCCTGGCTGGTGTCCGGTAGCCACGGGCCACTGCCGACCCGTTCCCTGTGTAAAATGTCATGTAATTACAGGCACGGGCAGCCTGGGAGGGCCCGAGAAGGGACGAACATAGAATTAGCTCAAGTAGTGTTTGGACATTACGAAAGGAAAGGTTCACAGTTAGGGGCAGAGGTGTAAGACTGGGTCAGCCTACCCACCTGCTGCCAGGAACCGGAACCAGATCGGGTGCTTAAGGCTCTGAATGAGCCAGCAGGACCACCTGCTCTCCGGACCAGGCCGGAGAGGGGCAGGGCAGCCGGTCGTCCTGTCCTAGTGCCCTGCAGATTTTGTATTCTCCCTACCCACCCTGCTTGACAGCTCTCTCCCACGTCCAGGTCGTGTAGCACAGGTGCACCTGCAGACCTGTGCGGTCCTGTTAACCAGCGTCCCCCCCAGGAAACTTCATACAAAGAAATAAAATGAATGGTACACACACTGCCCAGACCTCCACGCAGCAGGGTTTTCGGAAGCCTCTGGGAAACCATTCTTCCGATCCTCATGTGTGTCTAGAGATAGGAGCCATCAGACTGAGAGCTCAAAGGGCCATTTCTGAGGGTCCCCAGAGTCAATATTGCCGCTGTGTTGAGAAAAACCTCTGCCCTCCACGCCCTGCTTTGGTGCGTGAAGGAAACAAAACAGTTATTCCATTAGGAGGACGTCGTGGGATCAGGGGACAGAGTTGGATAGGAGTAGATGGATCTAAAGTAACTGATGGACATGTGCACGTTTTATTCCCCCCATTGGGCGGTTCCCCAGCCCAGTCAGTATTCCCTGGTTGGCCCTGGCGATTTTATTTATTTATTAAAAAAAATTTTTTTTTCTTTATTGATTTGAGAGAGAGAGGAGGGGAGAGGAGAGAGAGATAGAAACATGGATGAGAGAGACCATCGATCGGCCGCCTCCTGCATGCCCCCCACTGGGGATCGGGCCCACAGCCCGGGCATGTGCCCTGACCGGGAATCAAACCAGTGACATCTTGGTGCATGGGTCGATGCTCAACCACTGAGCCACACCAGCTGGGCAGCCTTGACGATTTTAAACAGTGGCTGGTATTGGAGGACACGAGACTGTTAGTGCAACCATAAACCCCCGAGAATAAATACGTTCATTGAACATAGGTTAATTCTGTGTCTTCATCATGCAAACAGGTCTTCCTCTTCCCTGGCTTTGATTACCCCCCCTGAAGAGGACTCTTATAAAAACTCAGAGGACAGGCACCTTTTTGCTGGATGAGACCCGAGTCACCCAGACCCCCGCCCAGCACAGTTCCTTTGGCAGCTCTCGACTTTGCACTCAGAAATGCATGCCGAGAACGGAAGGCCTTGTGCCAGTTTTCGGAGGGTTCCTGTGACGTGTGAGGACTCGGGGGCCTCGCTCACGTGAACAGTGTTACATGAAAATCTCACAGCTGCTCCCCTAGGGCAGGGGTGGGCGTGAGCTTCGACACCAGGGTAGGCAAAACGAAATGACCTGTCTGGATTGGATTTGGAGACCTGATCTGTGGATTGTAAAAGCGGCTTTTAGCTCCACTTATTTACAAAGCAACTATAAATGCCTTTTTTTTTTTTTTTAATTCCTAAATCTCTCGGTTTAGCCTGCATGCCAGAAGGGGGCCGTGACTCTCAGGTGCCCATAGAATAGGAGCGCGGATCGACTCGTCTCCACTAAGGCAGTGAGCCGGGTCCGGGATTTCCGTCACAAGTGTTTCATTAAAAATTCTCAGCACTTCGTGGCTTCTTCCTCAGACCAAGCAGAACCACAAGGACGGAACCCGAGGCCTCTCGGGGCCGGCTCCTTGGAACACACCTGTCGTGACAGAGACATCCCGGGGGGCTGGGGAGCTGGAGCTGGAGGACAAGATGCTGCCTCCCTGGTCGGCCCTGAGCCACTCACTCGGTTCTGTTGAACCCAGTTGTGAGAACCTTTATTAAAGACACCAGTATGCCTGCTTGCAGTGCAGACAGGACCCGTGGAACCTTAGCAGGCGGTGCCCCAGCGAGAGTCATTTTCTTTGAATGTTTTTCAGCTGAGACAAGTAGGAAACATGTGATAGGATAACACCCCCCCCCTCCCCAAAGAGGGCAGTTCAAGCAGGGGGCTGTGATATGGGGGCTGTGAAGGTGCCAGAGACAGATTTCAGATTTTTCATCCATCCATCCATCCATCCATCCATCCATCCATCCATCCATCCATTCCCTCCCTCTCTTCTGAGAACAGCACTGCACGAGGCCCTGGGGAATAAGGGGATGAGGAAATATCATTAATCAATAGCTATTCAAACACACAAATGCTAGGATTGTCCTCTTTCCCTCTCTCTTTCTCTCTCACACACACACATTCCTCCCTTGTCTTAGACACTCGTTTGTGCCGTACACGTGCCTTATTACGAGTCCAGGATTACTGAGGACTCTTGTTCCTGTGAGATTTTATAGCCTTGAAGCAGCAGACTGGAGTGGGTGTGGGAGAAAGAACTTTTTCTAGAGGCTCAAAGTGCTTTCCGAAAAGTGAGCAGTGACCAGAGGAAAGAATCACGGTTATGTCCATTAGGAGAATCCGATTTTGCAGAGGTGCAATCCCATTGCTAAAACGGCCAGGATTAAAGTACTATAAATCCACACAGCAGGGCATGTTCTCGGTGTGGAGGCCCCTGCCCCGGGGGGTCCATCGCAGTGCCTCCATGGCCCAAGGCTCAGTGCTGAGCTCGGGAAAAATCCACACATCTTTCCTTTGGTCCTTTCGGGCAACCGACATTTCAGGAATGCTCTATTTTCTCTTGGTTTCAAGAAGGAAGAGAAAAAATGTTTCTTGAGCACTTATTAAGTGCTGGGTGCTATGCTAAGTGAGTTTGAAGTCTTTTCATTGTATAGGCAGAGAAAGCAAGGGCGGCTGTGGCTGAGCTGGACGAACAGCCTAGGAGTAACTGAAGGACAACAGTGTGTGCACCAGCCTCAGCGATTCCGTGGTGTGTGCACACACTGTACACGTCTAAGTTCTCTGGGCGGGAAGCAGCGCCCCTCCCTGCGCTGGCCCCGCTGTGCACAGTCCAGTTGTCTGTCTCATGCTGACAGTGTCCTCCAGGAGGTCATTG